ATATGTTGGAAGAAACATATATATTCAAAGACTTCTGAAAAATAAAATTCTCTTTCGGGGCCCTCAACCTCCGCGACCTAACCGGGCAGGTCTATCCTCGTTGCGTAGCGACAAACACTAGTCGATGCGGCAAATCATTCACAAAAACAAAAGATAAACATGCAAAATGATAAAAAAATATCTAACATATAACAATGAAATCTCTTAAACGACAAATTTATTCATATTTTTAAGAGTGGGTGTTGAACGTGAAATATAATTAACTATTATTTTCTTTTCTAACAACTAAATTATTAAATTAATTAGTTTATCACGTTATTAGATCATACTTTAAGATTGACCAGTAGTTGATATATTACAAAATCTACCTTACTTTGTAGCCCAAGCCTATTGTTCTCCGATATAGTTTTTGACACCTCGTCACTTTACACATTGACAGTAATTGTTATGATGATGGCATATATAAGGTAAAGCATGAATAAGACCGAAGCAGTTGAATTTTGATTGGACTCTGGCGCCAACGATGGTGGATCATTGGCCGGCCCCACCGTTGGAGCTTGGTCATAGGTGAGACTCTGATCTCGATGCTTGAAAGCTCTGTTCGCCTAAGAATGCAACTCTTACAAAAACTAGGATTTTAGTAACTTTCCACTTGTTACGAAAAAAATCGTCAAAATATAAAAAATTATATTGAAAGGACAATAAAAAGGATAGTTCATAATGAAAAATCTCAACTCATTCTTTGTAACACCACAAGTTTGTTTCTTGTAATTATCATATCTATCTAAATTATGTATTAATACTACATTCATTGCTCAATTAATATAATTATCTTCGTAGTAACTAACTATATTTCTTACAGTGGAATGTACGTTGGACGCCGTAGATGATCAACGTGTTTATTAATTTAAGTTTAATATATTTATAATTATATTAAGCTTAGATTAAATTAAATTATACAATGCATTTATTTTTACTACTTGCTTTAAACTTGTCTTGCTTTTTGATTGAGCCTAGACGCTGATTTAGAATCTTTCTTTTATATGAATAAGAAAATTTTGTGTACATTAGTTCAAAAATAATTAGTTAACATAATGAAAATTTAGTAAGCTAATGGGATCAATTTAAGGTATAAATAAGTTAATATAGATAAATAAGGAGGCTTAATTTGTTAGATTAGTACAAATTAAACTAAATAAATGCCATTAGGTTTAGGAATCTATATATTTGCCTTATTTCAAATTAAACTAAGTAAATTGCTAGGATTCAAGGTAAGTAAACATTCCCTTATTTTCAAGTATACGTTGTATGGTTAAATATATAAACGTGTTAGTTAAATTGTCCTTACGTAAACATGATATCTTATCGTTACTTTTTATATAATGCTTCTCAAGACATTCGTACATGACAATGCATTCATAAGTATTAAGAGCTTTGCAGCACTACTGATAGGACTCAACCGGATTTCAAATAATAATTGTCCACTGCATTCTGATTGGTTAGGTGATACACCAAATGAACTCGCGACGTCAATGTTAAATTTTTAAAGAAATGAAAGAAAGGGGATACATATTGAGAAATACTTTTTATTTTAAAGTAAGCCATATGAATATCATAAGCATGCATTATATGCATGAGATTTGCTTACTGGGTGTTAGCTCATTCCAAGTTTATTCCTTCCTATTTTCAGATGATGGATGTATGATACGAAATGACGACTTGTGGTACGATGGACTCGTTACAATCACATTTATATATTGAATTCGTTTTGAAAATAAATTTGACATGTAATTTAATTGTCTTATATTTTATTAAGTACACATTATTTTCATAAATAAAGTAATTAATATTTATCATGTTAAAGAAAAATTAAATCGTCTTTCCTCATTTAAGATTTTAGAAGGAAATGAAGTGATAATACTTCTAAATTTAGGTATCTAGACTTGGGAGTTTACATTTTTATTAGTATGATATGAAACCTAGCTTCTTGTATGGTAGTTTGACTCAGTTATATATCATGATTGGTTTTCTTGAAAATTATATTTTAGTATATTTTGATAAATATATCATGAAAGAGTATCTAGATTTGGGGGTGTTACATTCTTATTAGTATGAAACCTAGCTTCTTGTATGGTAGTTTGACTCAGTTAATTTATATCGTGATTGGTTTTGTTGAAAATTATATTTTAGTAGATTTTGATAAATATTTCATGAAAGAATAATACTATTTGCAGTCACTCGTTACGGTAATCGTCATATGTGACATACATGTAAAGGTTAAATGGTTAATGATTTGATGCACGAGATAATAAAAATTTATTACATTAATGCATCAAATCACTAATGGTCACATGTATGCCACGCAGGGCTACTACGATAGTGATCAATTGCAAATAGCATTACCTTTAATGAAATGTGTGGTTAATAAATTGATAAAAGTTGTGGGTTCCACGAAATGTGCGATTAAAATTAATTATTGATTTTGACTTTGCTTTTTATCAACTTTTTTTAATTGGGCTTAATTTTGATAACAATTAAATCCAAATTTGTACTGATGGAAGCTAACATTTGATGGAGGCATGGGGCAATAAATTCCCACCTTCCGAAAATAGACCACGTTTATGTATTTATTTTTCTTTTTTATCTGTCAATTTAATTCAACTTATGTCTAACAAATAAAAAATATCTTCAATCAAATTGAATTATAGTTCCCCTCGTCTTCTCAACACGAGTTATTTTTCTGAGATAGCTCTCAAAGTTCAAGTGGTAGAAAGATAGTCAACAAATTGATTTTTTTTTTTTTTTTCACAATCTTGACTAATCCACGGTACTTTCAACCATGATAGTCGCAATAGTGCAAGTTATCGCAAGTAAATGGGACGAGTTTCAAAGAACAATGAAAATAATTGGACTTGATTAACTCACACTAATATCTATGTAACGCACCCTAAATGCGAAAGTAGTCTATACTGTTGAGGACGAGATTTTAATGAAATACATATGACTCTTTAACCGTTTAAACTTTTATAAGAATTGATTGAATCTTATTGGAACCAAGTTATCAAACATATACTCCTTTTTCCGATCCTAACATTCAATCACGTAAAATTGAGTCGAGCATGTGTCAATCTTTCGCTCAAAAGATGATTCTTCACTTGTCGTACTTAAAATTCTTTTGTAGACAGATGCAACCTGATACTGCTATGTCATTTCATTGTAAAATATGAATCCCAAGATAATGTATATTACTACAACATAGTACATTGTGTTTATTGAATTTCCATATGCAATTTATTTGCTGTCTTCCATTGTGTTTTTGAAAATTGAAATCATAAATTTCGAAAGCAACTGCTTTACACATAGTCAACTTCACACACAGTCTCTTTATTTGGCAGAGCAAATTCACAGTTGGGCAAAAGTTACTCCAATGCATTCAAATAAGTCCCCGTTTGGTTCTCATTATTTTAAAACTCTTTTTTCTACAATCTCATTTTCAACCACACATTCACACAATAGAATATTCTGCACGTAAGCTCAAAATTTTTCCATAATTTTTAATTACATATTCTCCTGAAAAATACTATTTAAAACTCTTTAAAATGGAAATAATGGCCACCAAACGGGGCTAAACCTGTCCATGAAATCTGTACCCAGCAAATTAATGTTGAATTACAAACATCTAAAAAGCTTAAACCCATTTTACCCAATTCATATTTTCATCAAAAGCTTAACATGAACATAATTTCTATGATAAGATTAAAAGGGTATGCATTAATAATCTAAATATAGTTCTAGGCAAAATTACATGTAAGACTATATTTTTCGAAATAGATATATTTATTAAAGCATTTACTAGGAACTCTTTATTTTTAAAGAGCATATTTTACAATTTAAAGAGTATTGTAAATTTAGAGAGTAAAAATATTTATGTATTCTAACAAACTCTTTATGTTTAACACTTAATTTTGCTACTCTAAAAAAATATTTATTATTTTTTCCTATATTTTCTTTTCACTAACTTCTCTCCAAATTATTATATTATTTTCCACATTGAAAATTGAAATACTTTGAATGTATTTAACTATAGAGAGTAAGTTTAACTCTATTTTAAAATATTAATTTAAATAATCTTTTGCAACATAATTTCAAAGGTTAATTATCTAAAATAGAGAGTATCTTACGTTTAAAGAGTTTTTGGGTGATGCTCTCCTCCCCCTTTCTTTAATCCACATGTCAAAGACAGGGCTAGTAACTGGAGTGAAGTCGTAATAAGATAAATCGTATGTGTATTGGAATGTGCGGTTGGACCACCTCCTTTTCAAGGAGAGCTAATGCTTGGTGGGTATTTTGGTTTGATACTACTTGGATGTAAAAAGAAGGGAGTTATGTCTAAGTTAAACTTAGAGATGAAAGTCTTCTTCTCATTTTTCGACATTGACGTGAGACCATGCTCGGGAGCTTATTATCCCATGTCGCCGCACGAACATGCTCCTCATGTACATGCCAGTTTCATTTTTTTAATAAAAGGTTCAATACATACATAATTTATATAAATAGATAGTTAGGAGACTTGATTCCACTACCATTTCCTAATCCAACACTATTTTGAATCAAACTATCTCAAAGATTAGAAGTTAGACGATGGGGCCACGTTTATAGTCTTCAAGACTTCAACAATTAATTCCTTCACATGCTAGCACTGCTAACCTCCCACTGCACATAATTTTTTGTATCTCCCAACTACTTTGCTAGATCCTTCTTAATTGTTAAATCAATTATCATAATCAATTATAAGTTGCAGCTCAAAAAAAACTCAAGAAACAGGTACATGTATGTATTATTGTGCCTTCCATGCATGCTTTTAATGCAGTAGAACCACTTTTGAGGCAGCAATTAATGGCTATCCCAACGCTCATGTTTCATATCCAAACCCAAGATAAATTCAGTAACTAAGTATATATTTTCATCTTGAAAAGCCTTACCAATTCAATTTTTGCCAAATGGAATTTTTGTTAGTTTTAACATATGCATTGGCCATTGGCTTAAGGGCTGTGAATTCTCAAGAAGCCACACTTGTGCCTGCAATCATTACGTTCGGAGACTCTGCGGTCGATGTGGGCAACAATGACTACATTCACACCATTTTCAAGGCGAATTACCCGCCTTACGGCCGGGATTTCAAGAATAAGGAACCTACTGGGAGGTTCTGCAATGGGAAACTAGCTACTGATATTACTGGTAATTTGTTTTTGGCCAGGGATTCGATTTTTTTCACTTCAAAATTGAATTTTCGCGTTCGTTAATTAGTTTTCATGTTTCTGTGTAGCTGAGACTCTTGGATTTACGACATATCCCCCGGCTTATCTTAGCCCTCAGGCATCAGGGAAGAACCTTCTCATAGGAGCCAATTTTGCTTCTGCTGGTTCTGGATATGATGATAAAACAGCCATTCTAAGTGTAAGAATTTGGTGTACAGTTATAGACTAAGATGTATGTGGAGTAGATTGAGGATCCGCTACGTGAATTTCCCTCTTCTAACAACTTAAGTCATCATTGTTGAAGATATATTTAAAAAATACAGCTTAAGCTTCTACATCAAGTGGTTGAATATGGTACGAGAGCAGCAAAGATCTTAGGTTCAAGTCTATTAAATATAATTGTCCAGATCAAGAGGTTCAAAAGTCAGTCCCTTGATGTATTCAAATTGGTGTCACCTCACAGTCTCATTTCTCTTCATATTCTTTCTATGAGGGCTGTACATCTTTGTGTGCTACTTTTACTTCTTTCCTTTAAAGCATGTTTCCCAAACAAAAAACTATAAGAATTTATTCACATAATTAAAATTTATCAAGACTCGGGATTTTATGTTAAAATGGTCAACCTTGTGAAGATGAATAATCCAAGCCATGTTGTGTATTTATTTCATCGTTAACATGTCTACGCAGTCAGAATTGAATTGGTTGGAATCCATAAGCTCATTTGACAGTAGTCAGAATTGAATTGGTCATTAGATCTACTCCTCTTAATAAAATTGACGTGAATTTTCTCTTTTGCAGCATGCAATTCCACTGTCACAGCAGTTGCAATATTACAAAGAGTACCAATCAAAACTAGCAAATGTAGCAGGTGGTAATAAGGCAGCATCAATTCTCAAGGATGCAATATACATCGTGGGTGCCGGTAGCAGTGACTTTTTACAGAATTACTATGTGAATCCTTTCATCAACAAAATTTATACTCCTGATCAGTATTCATCAAGCCTCGTGGCCATATTTTCAAGCTTCATCACGGTATATTACGGCCATTTCAGTGTTATTTTTCTTTAGTTTAATTAACAATCTAGTCGAATTCTAAATAAACCCATGGCTCACTTGGAAACAGAATTTATACGGCCTGGGAGCTAGGAGAATTGGGGTGACTTCACTTCCACCATTAGGCTGCCTTCCTGCAGCAAGAACTCTATTCGGATTCCACGAGAGTGGCTGTGTGTCTCGTATCAATACAGACGCCCAAGCATTCAATAAGAAAATCAACTCAGCCGCAACGCAACTACAGAAACAACTTCCCGGCCTTAAGATTGCTATTTTCGACATCTTCAAGCCCATCTATGACCTTGTTCAAAATCCTTCGAAAAATGGTATGAAACAGATAAATCACTTTGAAAAAATTATACCTGATGAATTGACTAACCTTAACACAATTAGTTTCTCCTTTTGTTTTGCTTCTAACCATAATCCACTTTCTCCTTCATTTTTGCTTCTACAGGATTTACAGAAGCAACAAAAGGTTGCTGTGGAACAGGAACTATAGAGACAACATCATTCTTGTGCAATCCCAAGTCGATAGGAACTTGCAGCAACGCAACTGAGTATGTATTTTGGGACAGTGTGCATCCTTCTGAGTCCGCTAATCAAGTTATTGCTGATTCCTTGGTCTTCCAAGGCATCAGCCTCATAGGTTGATCCAGGAATAGTATTGCCGTAACCTATAAGCGTGTGTTTGATTCGTAGTTTTAGAAATGATTGGACCATATGATGAACAAGATTTAAGCTACTCCTTCAAAACTGTTCAATCCTGTACTGTCCATGCTATTAAAGGGGCCATAAAAAGTGTTAGAGTGTGTTACTTCCTTTTCCTTTTCCTTCTGTATGTTTCTTTTTCCCTGAAAAGAAGATTGAAAGGCTTGTTTTACACTGTTAATTTGTTGCACCTCATAAGACTAAAATTAAGGAGAATTTTCTTTTTGTTGAAATCTGAATTTCAAGGGTGATAATTGATGTTTAAACATCGCTTTTTTCTTTTTGTTGAAATCTGAATTTCAAGGGTGATAATTGATGTTTAAACATCGCTTTTTTCTAGAATCAAATTAAGTAAATACATCATATCTACTATTTTAATTTTAACTCTGTAATACTCCTCGAAACTTGACGGGAAAGGAAAGAACAAATCAAGATATACAATACAAAATGCTCCACAAAAAGTATTGCCATTTGCATCAGCTGGAGTTCCTCCAATACGTTTGTATTATCAATAGCACAACGTGAGGTTCCAAGAAAAAAAAAGGAGCTATAACAATGATTTTACAAAATTCGCTGAAAGACAGCAGAACTTAAGTAGAAGTGACGTTAGGAACGTATGATGCCACAGATTGCCAGATAGACATGGCTGGCAACTAACAATCCTATTTTCCTCCCCGGCAGTTGAACTGCTTTCTCTATGGCGATTTTAGCAGCTTCTGTGTGTCAGATGTCTTCATTTCGACAGGCGACAGCAGTCCTTTAACTTTATCATCCTGCTTAGGCTTACCCAGAGAAAAAACAATTACAAATATGTCACACTTCAGATTGCAAATAAAACTTAATCAGAAAATAATAGATCATTAACATATCTCAGACCTGAAGATTCTCAACAGGAGAACGAATCATATCCACAGGATTTGATCTCCCAGGTGAGAATGTTGCAGAAACAGGTTTCGTAGTTGCTGATCCTTGAGAGAACTCCTTTGCAACTCCATTAATACTCTTCTTTTGCAATTTTCTAGACAGCTTTTTATCCTTCATAGACCCCACGAGGTTTTGAGTAAATACACCAGAAATAGAAAACTTCCGGGGCTGTAAAAAGCAACACAAACATTTATAAATGTGGCACAATCCTAGGCTGTAAAAAGCAACACAGACATTTATAAACTTCCTGGGCAGTAAAAAGCAACACAAACTTTTATAAATGTGGCACAATCCTTTTTCATATTGAAAGTACTAGAATTATAGACCCAAAGAAACATACTAGGTGTTTTTGCATATAGTTCTTGGTGTTCCCGTGAATATTTTGTTGCGGAGGAATCTGCAGTAGTATAATCCCAAGTCATGTGAAGAGGAAAATATTGAAAAAGATTAGATAGGCATAGTGTTACAAGCCAATGAAATATCCTTACATGGGTGGAAAGGTTTCCTTTGCGATTCTGAGCTCCATAAAACGAACTAAAAGGTCTCCCGAAATTTTGATATGCAGTGAATGAATGGTTGTCTCGCAAAATTGGATCCCAAGAATTCAATTGTGGGATAATAACATTTTGATTTGCCGTATAATCCCAAGGGGGAGTATTGAGGAAGTTGTAATGCAGTGGCTGCAATTCAGAGGTAACGACATCCAAGTTTTGAGCGTAAAATGGCTGAGGTGGGTACTTTGAATGAAAATCTTGCACTCTTTCCGAATCATACAATACCAAGGCTACATACAGAGTCTTCCCCTGGATATTAGTTCCTAGGAAGAACCAAACTCAAGTAAGATTTGGAGAGAGAGTGACCAAAGACAAATGGAAACAAGAAGGAGAAAAGAAGACAGCTTACCATTTAGCAAATGCATAGCCTTCACTGCATCGTCTGAACTTGTAAACCTCACAAGCCCGCATCCTTTACTAACTCCATCTCTACCACAGATCACTTCTGCTGAAGCTACTTTTCCAAGACCACTGAAAATTTCTTCCAATTTACAGTCATCTACAGATACTTCAAGATTATCCACAAATAGTTCTGAAGCCTTTGACTCTGGATAATACACAAATAGTTCTGAAGCCTTTGACTCCGGATAATTATGTCCATGTGGTAGTCTTAGAAGCTTCATCCTGTCAGCTTTCTTTTGAGCTCTTCCCACAAAGAGATTCTTTGATCCTGATTCATAGGAAAAAAATTTCATTCAAAATCAATCTTATGTTGCACAAATCAAGTCCGTAAATATTGATAAAATGGAAACATACTACATATGTTCCAGTCAAGCTGAGCAAGAAGGGCACTTACCAATCAGTGCTCCATTTAGAGCCACCATGGCTTTCATAGCCTCTTCATGTGTATCAAAATTCACAAATCCAAAACCTTTTGATTTCCCCTTCTCATCCTTCATTATGACAGCACTGCAGACCTTCCCATATTCTGAAAACTTTTCTTTGAGGTGATCCTCTGTCAAATGACCATCTAGATTTTTCACGTACAAGTTTGTGAAACCAAGTTCTGTGTCTTTCCTTTCACTTTTTTTAATGAACTTCGACACATATCTGAAGTAAACAAACAAGATATTTAAACACTGTATGCTACTTCAATGTGGCATGCAAAAATCTAATAATGGTCGAACGTAGAGCCGAGTGAGGTCATCATCAACAAGCTCTTAAGATATAACGAGATTAAACTGAGCAGTGACATTCACAGTTTGCCTGATTTACCAGCTTGTCATGTTTCATGATTTTGTTAATAAGCAATCAGTAAATGGAATATCAGATATAAGGAATGTTTACCCATACATCAGATCCCAAACCATTTTAACTCCACATTACCGGATTCGACATTTGTCTTAATTTGAATTATCAACAAGCCACAACATAAAATTAATGCATTTGTTAGAGAACTTTCAAATGAACATCTCCACAAGGTTGTGGAGAACTAAGTAGATGCCATAACGAGGAATTTATGGTTTGAACTCAAAATAGTTTTTGCTGGAGTTGGATGAATGAGCGAAGTACAAAATAGTGAAGATCGATTTGATAGAGCAAGAAATAAAAATATAAGCTCGAAAATGTCCACCACTTTGAAGGATATCAAAATGGGCCCTCATAGTAGGAAAAACAAGAACTGAAGAAGATAGCAGGGACTTACAGCTTTTTGCCTTCCAGCATGGTGCCATTGACAGCATTCAGAGCTGCCATAGCTGATATCTCGGAATCAAATTGAACGAAACCAAAACCCTTACTCTTCCCATTTTCCTCAGCAACTTTGCATGAAAGTATTTCTCCATACTTAATAAAGATTTCTTGCAACAAAGCGCTAGTAATTGAAGGGTCGAGATTCTTGACAAAGAGGTTCCCAGTGCCCGTCTTCCTCTGGATAGGGTCTCTCTGGCGCCACATAATCCTCATAGATTTACCCCTCAATTCAGTGTATCTTAGACTAGTTAGAGCAGTTTCAGCTGATCAAACAGAAGGCTACTCTTAGAGATGCAATATTATAAGGGGCCTAATAATGAATTGAGTAGAATATCATAAACAAAGAGAAAGGGTGTGCATTTATGGAGTCCCAAGGAAAGCAAAATAGCAGAAAATTTACCCAAAAAGAGAGATTAAGAGAGAAAGCAAATGAATATAGTTAAGAAACTATTAAGGCGGAGAAAAAAAAGTTGAAACAAGGAAGAAGAAGTGGCCAAATTTTCTAATGAAAACAGAACAGGCTGGCAAAAGTTGTGATACATACATGTTAATCATGCATACGAAGAAAGAAAATCATTCACAAATAAAGAGGATTACCAAACAAAGAAAGGTTAGTGAACAGTACACTGTTCACAAATAAAACATTGGGCTGAAAAGGAAAACTGATAAAAAAAAAGGGACATTCACAGAAACCCAATCTTTTTTAATTTAAATATCAACGCCAAAATATCAGAGCCGACAAATTAATTCCTAAAGAAATCATAACCAATAGAAAGAACAGAACTTTAAATAATATACTGAAGTGTATCAGAATTCCTGCAACACATCTTTCATTGTACATATATTGAAGTGTATGAGTTTGCAGAGATGCCCAATTGCCTAGTAGAGATTTCCAATTAACTATTTTAAGAAGTAAACATACATGCACGAAAACCCCCTAAATACATACAAAAAACGACAGAACCTATGGTAATCATCCCCTGAAGAGAGTATGAATACTTGAATAATATCAAATACGTCTGAAAATAACAACTTTGTCATCTTATATAGCATAAGTATTAACATTCCATGTTCAAGATTTCTTGTAATAGAACAAAAAACAGAGCCCATTAAAGAGAAATAAATATTTTCTTGATTCTCAAAACAACATGAATGGAGATAAAAGAAAAAAACTAAATGATACACATACAGTTAAAGAATTTAGTCAATGTAATAAAGATCATAATTTCTTGCTTTCAGGAATAATGAAGAGACCCAAAAATTCAAAAATCCTTGTTTCTTGATATTTAAAAAACATCACATTACCAAACCCAAGATCAAAAATCAAAATCCATAAGATCAAAACACAAACTAAATATATTTATACATTAGACCTTTAAGAAATCCATCAAAATCAAGATGACTTCAACTCAACCACTTTCCCCCCAAAAAATCATACAAAACCATAAATATTTTAGAAAACACGTGCACAGTTATCAGTATACTCACAAAGTAAATTTATTCAGCATAAAGAACTGGAAAATCAGCAGTAAACTGAGATAAACCTTTTTCTTGGTTACTCCAGAAAACCCACATCACAAAAAAGCAAAGTTCAGAAAACAAAAATGGCATATCTAAACGAACCAATGTACGTATGAATATACATATTTGTATTTTGTTTACCATCGGAGTGCGATTTGAAGTTGACATATGCGTAGCAAAGGGACTTGTGGGAGAGCCTGTCGCGGCATAGGTGAACGGATGATACTGGGCCCACCCGGCTGAACACCGACA